TACTGTTTGACTTATTGTACACTCGATGCTCCGGACTGAATAGCTACGATGTTTACAATCGATTGCATAAATAGCAATATTATTGAATTCATTTTAAATTTTTGAAATGTGAACTTTAGTTAATATGAGATTTAAAGTAAATGATGTGATAAAGGATTAGGAGTTTTCCTTTAAAAGATATTTTTTAAAATCTGATTTATGATAAATAAGTTCATGGTTAAATACATTTTCTTTTGCTTCAGTCGAGAATGTTACGCCCTATTTAATTATCTTGATGATAGTTGAATAGCTGAAATTTTCATGTTAATATTTTTTAGCTGCTGAATAATATTGATAATAATAATAATATATTGTATATACTTAAACCCAAACTTGGTACATTATAGGCGCCAAGAGGTGCACCACACAAAATCTTGAAGTTTGTGCGAGGGTTCCGACACTACTGCTTGGACGCCCGAACCGACTCCCGGGTGGTTGTAATCAGGAGCCACACCCCGAGCCTTTCTTGTTGAAATCTGATCCACAAGGCAGTGCAGTGGTGCGGTATCAGGAGCTACGTTCTCATGACTGTCAGTGATCAAAATAGGTTCATGCACCATTCGATCCAGACGGATTCTGGGGCCAACGAGTCCCAAATAGGACGAGAAGCACAATCTGGACCCCACTGTTAGTCATCATCAACCAAGTAACATCATGTTAATCTCTAGTGCGTCACAAGTCCGAGTCCCGTTCCTTATCCTGAAGTTTGTGTAGCCTTGTGTAGTATAAGCAGCCCCAGCTCAGTGCTGACTGCATTGAACTGCAAGTGGTTGTTGAATAAATATTGATTAATGTCTGACTGCTGGTCACCACCAACCAAAATAACTTTCAATATTTTTTTACGAGTTGATCACGGATTGATATCAGTTAGAGAACCATTGAAAACCAGGGAGTACTGGACAGCTGCTGTTTCATCCTAGTTTGGGAATCATCGGCAGTACGCACCCACTGGGATTCGAACCCGGGACCTTCCGGTTACAAGGCAAGCTCGTATACCATTCAGCCACTGGGACCCGAATCATTGGCTCATGAATTCTAACTTCTACCAATTCGTGATTTAGCGCGACCCCAACTATTGTCGTTGGTGGGACATCCATCCACACGTGACTTCTAATTGGACCTCACTGGTCACGACTTCTCACTAGAACTCCAGGAAGCTCCAACCTGTAGCAAGTCACTAGCGAGCATCAGAATAATTTTCTATAGTTTGGTTTGTAAGAGTTAGTTATAACTATGTCTGGTATACGAGCATGCCTTGTAACCGGAAGGTCCTGGGTTCGAATACCAGTGGATGCGTACTGCTGATGATTCCCAAAGCTAGGATGAAACAGCAGCTGTGCAGTACTCCTTGCTGGTTTTCAATGGTTCTCTAACCGAAATCAATCCGTGATCAACTCGTAAAAACATAACTAACCCTTACAGACCAAACTATAGAAATTTTCAATATTTTCTCCATCCAGTTGAAGATTAAAGTTACCATCTAGACAAAACGAACTATGAAATAAAAGCGAAGATGTGTAGCTCATTGGATGATTTGGAATTAGTGTTCTCTGAGCTGGTTGGTTGAATTGCGAAGCTTTTGTCGTCTTTCTGGACAACATCTTCAGCACAAGTTTTGGCTTAAAATGAACTGATTTAAATTCGCCATGAATGATAGAATTGAAATCAGTTCGTTTTATGCCAAAACTTGCGCTGAAGATGTTGTCTAGAAGGACGACAAAAGCTTCAAAGTTCAACCAACCAGCTCAGAGAACACCACTAATTTCAAATACGAATCATGCCCAACAGTCTGTTTGGTGAAGATATATGATATTTGCACCACTCCGCACTCAGTAGATTTATGGTTCTTTATATATGTCCATTGTCTTAGACTTATACGCTACACAAAACATGCGACAATATAAATTAATTTTTGCTGATATGTATAAATTTTGGCTATTGATATAAGTATTAAGTGTCCAACGATATTCTTGTACACGTAGACAGTCTTAGTGTTTATCTGAAGGTAGACGAAGTGATAAGACGACGGAGAGTTCAATGAAACTGTTATATTATTATTATTTTTACTATTATTCTGTTGGACTCTGAGTAGAACACAGAGCTTCGGCAGCACATCTTCATTCCACTCTCTTTTCTACGGTCTCATTTTACATACTCCACGATCTCCCATCAGCTTTCACTTACCCCAAACACGACCTCTTCCATGTCAACCTGGGAAGCTGCATTTGTCGTTTCTCATTCGCGTTTCCACTCAAGAGCTTAGCGGCCTAGCGTATAATATCATTCAACATCCTCCTAGATTTCCTTCTTCATATTTGTTAGACGACAGGTTCTTGCTTTCTCGTTGTTAAAGTTCCTTGTTACCTACCACTATTGGCTAGCTTGTCTACTGCTCACTAGTGATGGCATAGGAGATAGAGCTGCCTGAAGTTCCAGGGGGAAGTAGTTAGCAACTGAAAAAAGAAACTTATGGTCATAAGCCTGTTGTCTTACTCTGTCTCCTATTTTCGGCTGCTATTTTTCGACCTTCTGAACAATATCTTTGGAGCTCACTTTTATTTTGAAATGGGCTTTAGAAATGCTATACTAACTAGATAGCAGTCTTTCCTAGTGTTCACTTCTGTTGATATTAGTTCTCTCGATGACTCAATATTTGACCTTTCGGTCTCGTGAACTGTTTCTCATTAACTGATAAATTTGAAGCATATGAACTGTTTGCCTCAGCAATAACGGTAGCTGCTACCCAAACACAGTGGTCAGGCTTTCATTTAGCAATGTTCCATCGAGTTATAATGACTGGAACTGGTGTTACTGCGTGTCTTGACACGCCAGAAAGTTCATTTGAATAATGATTGAACTAAAATCGGTCGCTATCATAGTGTACATTGTTTACACTATTTTGGCAGTCTGTAGGCGATGTCGTACTGCTGGGGAATATTGATGTAACAACAGTGTTTCTCTCAGATAACCATCTTGCCAGCTATTCTACCTCTATGAGGAGGTGACGGCGGATTAGAGAAGGTTGACTACGAAAGTTCTACATCCTAATTTACCTTGTGGTGTTCTGTAACCGGCTGTCGGATCGTATTATAGAGGCAACTCCAGAAGCACAATTCAAATAGATCGTGTGTGACTGGCTTCAAAAAGTTATCCACTGGGATCTGAGGTCACGCAACACTAATTCTCTTCATCTTTCAGTTACCCCAAGAATAAAATCAACTGCTGTGGTATGGGCGGGCGACTAGGAATTAACAATGGCCCACATACACTTACAAAAGCACACAAAGGTACTCAACTCAGAAAATATGATGATGACGCCAAAAACATCCGCTTAATTTGCAAATCCTCGTCATTATTTCGAAATTTTATAGCCTTGTGTTCACTGGCAACTTTTGTACTGAGCTTAATCAGTCTAGTTTATTTTAAGATTAAGATAGTTAACTGGTTTTATTGGTAAATATAGGTGAGAGTAAGCTGATTCTCAAGTGTTCACTTTATATGACAGGCAAATTTGTTAAGATTGTTGGTGGGTGTTAAAAAGGAAAGAAGACACAAATTTTGTATAAAACTATATACTACTGATTAACTGAGATGAGTAGATGAATATAACTCATATCATCTCTTCAGATTGCAAACTACTAACCAAATTGTAAATTATTAATTCCATTTAAGATAACGCAAAACTACCAGTCTATTTTCTTGTCAGTTGACGTGTATAACTGTTGAAGGTATTTCATTTTCCATATTAGTTTGTTTATCAGATGTATCACACAGTCAGGGAAACAGTATTATTTACTGGATGACTAAGTTTCGAACAAAATTTATTTATTGTTCATAATCATTGCATCAATTGTAATCACACGACTTCGAAACTTGAGTTTTATAGTTTTCTTTGTTCTCTCCTATTTGACGTCGTTGGGGTAGTAGCAATTTCCAGATATCCGACTGAACAGGTGTTGAATCATTCATCAGAGTATTAGATAAACTATATTGTTTTGTTTTAAAGGATCCACAGGATTGATCCTTTGACCAACAAAGCTTGTTTCTAATTGAGTCTGTGAGTTTGAATGCCACTTTTGTTCCTGGCTTGTTAAGAATTCTGAGTAAGGTTTCCGAGGTTCTTTCCCTCTATGGGATTACTACTGATGATTTGGAAACCTTATTGTTAGTGTTGTCTTTCGCATGTTTGACATGCATATCGTCATTAATATTACTATTATTATTACAATTATTATTATTATCATTATTATTATTACTATCACTACCATTATTTATTTTATCTTTACATTTCAAGGCTTCTCTTATATGCATCACTTCCTGTCTTAGATTTTCCTTAGTACTACTTAGTTTTTGTGCTCTTTCACTTAAACATTTCACCAATCCTATTTTCACTGACATAGGATTGGATGATCGGAAATCCAAATATCTGTTTGAATGTGTGGCTGTAAACACTAATGTTTAACTTCCCATCTTCTTTCCTTTTTACACTGCAATCTAACATTGGAAGCTCCCCTTCCTGACTTTCCAATTCATCATAAGTGGATTGAATTGCCTCCACCTTTGAGTTAATGTGTTCGAAAAATCTATATGTATCCTGTGTTCCAAGTAGAATGAATGTGTCATCTACATATTTCCACCATACTTTTGGGCCAGGGCTGAACGTTTGAACACCTGTTCCAGATATCTGGAAAATACTACTACCCCAACGACGACAAATAAGAGGGAACAAAGTAAACTATAAAACTCAAGTTTCGAATTTGTGTGATTATAATTGATCCAATGATTATGAACAATAAGTAAATTTTGTTCGAAACTTAGCCATCCAGTAAATAATACTGTTTCACTGACTGTGTGATACATATAATAAACAAACCAATATGGAATTACTTACGACTACAGTGCCCAAGTTTTACACATCTATTGGTATCTCATTTTATCTTTTATTTTTTATATTTTTTTAGATCCCCCAGTCGTATCAATCGTGGTCTGCTGCATAAATTTCACTTACTCAATCGTGCTCTGTCTGATGATAATCTACCTTATTATCCAAATCGTTTAGCCTACCATATGCTTAAAACTAATACTGCCACAACTACGACTGCTTCTACTATCACTGCCCGCTCACCATCAATTCTCAATGAATCATCATTACCAATTAATCCAATGAACATCAGTAAAAGTAAGAATAATAATAATAAAAATAATAACAATAATAAAAAACGGAATTCAATTAAAAGTAAAAAATACAATTCACTTCCTACTGGTAAAAGTGTTTCTCATTCAAATAGTCTTCAATCTCTTAAAAATGATTCATTAGAGACTTTGAAACCACAGACGTCTGAAGAAAAACTTATTCAATCCTCAAATTTTACATCAACTAATAGTTTTGAAACAGTGAATACTTGTAGTAATGATACAGAGGTGAATGTTAGTGCTACCAATAGTACAACTGCAACTACAAATGCTGCGACTACTACTAGTAATACTGTTGCTACTCCAAATAATGAGTACATTTCAGATGGTGGTAAATCGAATGAAACATTGACATTTTCTTCGAATGTTTGTGTGCTTACTACGCCGAGATTTAAACAGACTGTCACTATTAAACACCTTCATCATAACTGTATGCCAAAATCAAATGTAGACGTGTTATATCTTACAGATAATACGAAGAGAAATAACAATGATACTGCTACTAGTAATAATAATATTACTTGTCGGCGTGCAAGTAATGATAGTAGTGATATTGACAACAACAACAACTAAGACACCACTGTCTAATCAGTCCTTGGGTGTATCACAGTATTGTCGTCATCATCAGCTCGAGGTCGTGATCAGTCAGATGGTACAACAAACCGAAGTCAACTACTTCTTTCCTGTAATTAAAAAAATCAAAACTCTGAATTTACTGTTTCACTGGGATAATCAAGCTCATTTCTGCTGCCATCCCTATTGTTTGACTTCCATGTTGTATAAAAAATACCCGGTGATGTTACTAATACTCTGTTTTACTGTTTCTGATATCTTACACTCGCTTTTATGTTGAGTTATTCTCATTTGTTTAGCTTTTTATACCACTTCATTTTTCTCACACCACTTACTGTGTACGTTCATCACTCCACTTTTAAGAGTTTCCTTTGGGGGGGGGGTATTCGTTTACCATCTTCTTCTTACTGTTTATTTCATTATGAATGCATTCAAACAATAAGTATAAATTAGATGAGGACGGGTATATTATGGATGGCTTATTGCTGTTATAATAATAATTATTATTATTACTGTTTCATGTATTTACTATTCCTTATGCCTGCATCAATCAACACAGTCGTATTTAATCTCTGATTGCAGGACAGATACTTATTAGGGAAAATTTACACAACATATATATATATATATACATATATATTGTGCTCTATTCAGTGAAACCAACTTATTATTGGATTTGTTTTAACGCTACTGTCTTTATTTTATTCGTTAGTTATATTTTGCATATTTTTCTTTGGGGTTTGTTTATGGAATTTTAATATTTATTATCCTTTTAATAAAAATTAAAAAAAAAAAGTTGAGCGAAGAATATCCTTTTCGGTAATCTGCTCTTCTGGCTCTACAAAGGATATTCTAGAATAGACATCATTAACAATATTGGTGTTTTTTGAATACTATCCATATGTTAAGTAAGATCAACTTCATCGACTTCGAAAAGGCTTTCACCAGACAGCGCTGACTGAGATGTAATTTGGGAACTATACTTCAACACTATGGAGTACTTCAAGTCCTTATCAATCTCATTCAACAACTGGCTATATGATAGTGGCACGTATCAGGTGGTCGACAACAGAAAACTCAGAGAGGCATTCGAAGTGCATACAGGAGTAAGACAAGACTGTCTGCCTATTATCACCCATGATATTCTTAATTGTGGTGGACTGGATTATGCGTCAGACTGTGGGGAGCGAGGAGTCAGGAATACGCTGGACCATCGATAAGAAGACTCTAGAAGATCTGGATTTCACAGATGATATATGTTTGATGTCATACAAACTTGAAGACTTACAGGCGAAGAGCAAAAACTGGCTGAAGAAACAGCTGGAGAAGGCGGGACTTCAGGTGAACGTAAAGAAGACGAAGGTAATGAAGATGACCAACCAATAGCAACAGCAACAACAAAAACCAGCAGCAAACACTATCAGTGAGACAGATTTGACAGATTTCTGCATTCACTTATCTAGGAAGAATCGTTTCAACTATAGGTGGAACGAATGAAGATGGTAAAGCCAGCCAGCCAGCCAGAGTCGGAAAGGAAAGATATACCTTCATCAACCTGAAACCGATTTGGAAATCTTGTGCACTCCTCAGTATTAGGAAAACAACATTTAGATTTTCAACACTAACGTCAAGTCGGTCCTTCTGTATGGGTTAGAAACTTGCACTGAGTGTCACGAAAAGGATTTCTAGAAAGTTACAGACTAACATCAGCAGCTACCTTCGCTCCATACTGAGGACCAAATGGCCAGAAAGAATTAGTAACAAGAAACTGTGAGAGCAAACCAACCAAACAGCTGATTGCTCAACAGATATGTAGGAGAAAACGGAGACAGATTGGGCGTAAATTGAGGAGACCGTCGAATGACATCGCGCGCCATGCAGGCTGACACTCTAGTGGGATCCCAATGGAAAGCGACGAGTGGGTTGTCAGCGTTAGGGTGAAGAGATAGTGTGTAGAGGAGATGAGAGAGTTTGGCAGAGAATGGAAGAAAGTGAAAATGTGTTGTTGAAGTCCTGTGTTCCACTTGGAACCCAAGGGAACAATAATAATAAAATAATAATAATGGAATTACAATTCACTGAAGACGCCTAAACTATAATAAGCATAAAAATATCAAGAAATTTCCCCAACAAACTGAGGATCATTAGAACCTTGATGGCCAAGGTAAGGAGAGTGTCTAAATCAGCTTTTTTGGATGCACAAGTTAGGTTTCTTAATGTGCATCCAAATGGCCTCATCAAATATGTAGTAGACGAATCGAATATCAGAAATAGCACGTATATATGAAGAAGAATTATGTTTAAAATCTTTGAAATGTTATTTTTGTTTGGTATAACGCATAATTTATTTCATGGGTTATTTATTTACCTAGAGTAATATGAAGAAAAAGTGGATGTTCGTTGCGTTCGTTTTCCCCTTTTTATTATTCTCTCAGTGGGGGATTCCAAAAAAGAAGTTTGAGGAAATTAGTCCTCATAATAAATTTGGCTAGAGTTATTAAAAAACGGACATTAAAAAAAAATAATTTTTGATTACAGTTTGATTCCACACCGTATTTTTTGATAAAAGTATGGAATTTTCAGCTCGTGATATAGGAAGCCCGAATTTTCCCAAAATCGCTTGAAAGTCAATCTAACTCTGAAACCTTTATGGATGTGAATGGCTGACTACCAGCCTCGTCTATAGAGAAACACATTATTAATATGAATCATAAGGCTGATATCAAAGCAGCTTTTAAGATTATACGTATATATGTATAAATTGAAGCGGCGCATACGCTAAGGTGACAGCCATTCTTTCAATTATGCAAGCCTTTGAGTACAAAAATAACTCAATTTGGCGCTTAACCTACCTTAGAAATTCGCATATGATTATATTATGATTATATTATATGATTATATTATCTGCAGTAGTGTCAATCATTATCCTCTTTATTTTCTATTTCAACATAAATTGATTGGATCAGATTGTTCAGAATGCATAAAGCTTTTACATCCCAGTATTAATAACCGGCTCCACAACTGCCCTTAAACGTTTTTTCCTCCTCACACGATTTCCTCCATGTCAACAATGGGGCCACGCCCTAACTGTCCTTTCACATTGGGGTTCCACTTGAGGAAATGATGTAAATTAACGGTATCCTGAGTGTGTGTGTGTGTGTCTGACCTATATCCATTTTCTTCTGCGTATTTGTTTGGTGACAGGTTCTTGGTAGCTTCGTTGCACCTCCAGTCTTCCCTGTTACATTTCTTTTCTGATCGGTCATCTGATCATCAATCTCCTGCTATTGAAAGCAGTTGTTGGTGGAAATCTACAGTAGCAAGCTGGAATTACCCTCCGCGATTCTCAAAGTCTCTAAAGTGTATGGGAGAAGTGAATTGATGTCACTTCTGAAGATCGGCATCTTAATAATAATAATAATAATAATAATAATAATAATCACTTTATTCCACAACAATAACAATTTACAGCATGGAATTTTCAGTGTTTCTTTTACATATTGCAATGGTTTAGCTCTGTTTATAATTATATAAATGTATAAAACGTTAAAATATTGATAGTTAATAGGAAAAATAAAACCCCAACAAAATCACACCATTGCTAGGTCATAGTTAATAATAAATAAATAATATAACAAATAACACATGCAATAATACGCATCATTTCATTTTACAGTTTAGTTAATGATTTAAAAGTTGTAAAAGTTCTTTTCTGATATTTGTCTCTTCACACAATACTCGTGCCAAATATGGTACGGTCGAATTTTTATATTTTGTAGTACGAGCATAAATGTTTATGAAATTTATTCTGGTCTTACCCGAAGAGATACAAGGAAATAATTGTGAATAAAGAGGATGTTCACTATCAGACAAGATAACTTTAGCTAAGTGTATACAAGAATTCATATGCCTATTGACAACAGTGTCAGTTAGTTGAGTCAAAGGGATAGCACTGACCCTACTTACAGCCCTCAATGTTCTTCGTAGTATTATATGGTCTTTCTTTAGTAGCCCAGGGAAGAATAATGGAGAACAATAAAGAATGATGGGCAAAACACATGAATTAATAAATTGAATGAGAAGAGATTGGGTTATACCTGAGTGCCTCAACTTCTTTATGTAATAAGTCAGACGGAAAACTTTCTTAGAAACTATAAGAATATGAGACGACCAGCAAAGGTTTGAAGAGAAATTGATGCCAAGATAAGAAACACATGACTTACTCTCTATCATGGTACCATCAATATTACAATAATCATGAGATTGGACCAATCCGTGCATATTTTTTTCACTTCTCAAGCTGAAATCAACAGTATTACATTTAGCTGGATTTAGTTTAAGACCATTTGAGCCAGACCAATCCTTAACTTCAGCTAAGAAGCCATTCATATGGGAACAATCCGATGTGGAAACTACGGGGACAGAAACGGTTAGATCATCAGCATACTTAATGAAGTTAACTTTGGGTGAGTTCGGAAGGTCATGCAAAAAGAAAGAGAAAAGAAATGGAGAAAGTACTGCACCTTGAGGCACACCACTTTCAGTTAGCTGAGAAGTGGAGCGCTTTCCAGCCAAAACAGTATGCTGTTTCCTATCCTTAAAATAAGAAGACAGCCATCTAGTTGCCCAGGACTCTGTTTGTGCTGAAATCATCTTTCCTAATAAAAGTGTCCTAGGAACAGAGTCGAAAGCTGCAGTATAGTCTAAAAAAGCTGTTCGAACGAACTTAGCACCCTTATCAAGGCAGGAAACAATATTTTGGTGTAGTACAATGGCTGCATCTAATGTACTTCTTCCACACTTGTAAGCAAACTGCTTAGAGTCATTAAAAGCTTTTAAAGAAGGTTTAAGAATATTCAAAAGAAGTTTCTCCATAGTTTTCAAAAAAGGAGATGTTATAGCGACCGGTCTAAACTTTATGCCTGCTCCAGAAGATGATTTCTGTACAGGTACAACCTTGATTTCTTTCCAGTCAGCAGGTACCGTTTCCTTGTTGAATG